AAATTACATACACATAATAAATAATAAAATTCAATAGTTATACTAAAACATAAAATAATATAAATATTCAAATATAATAACTAAATTGTTAATTTTTAAAAATAAACTTAGTAGTTTAGATATAAAAATAGTAAAAAGTTAACCAAAGTTATAGAATCCTAATCATATGAGAACCACTCCCCATGTGAGAACTTGTTGACAAATACAAACTATTGATTTGCAAAATCTGATGGGTGGGAAATCACGTAAAAATGAGTGGTGTCATTTTCATAAATATTACAAATTTTTAAAATGAGTGAGGTCATTTTCATAAATACTACTCCCTTTGTCCCATTTTATGTGTCCTACTTACTATTTAGGGGTCAAACCAACTATTTCTTCTTTGTTTATTTTCTTTAGTACTTTTTAATTTGATTTTTTTTTTTGTCTAATAGTACTTTTAGTGTAGTTTCTAAATATCTAAATTTTGTATACTAATACTAAACTTAATATTATGAAAAAATTAGATTAAAAATAACTCCAGTCAATCCTCGTTAACCGAACCAGACACATAAAATGGGACGGAGGAATTATATGTTGGAAAAAATAACTTAAAATGGCATAACTTATAAAGGACTGTTTTGTGGTATAATTATTAGTGGGGTCCACTTCCGATTTGGGTTGGGTCAAAGTGGATTCGGATTCTTCATAGTGAGACGAAGAGATTGATATATTGTACGCTGAAAACAGATAATGAGTGAATGAAATATTGATTCTCAAAGTAGACCCATTTGAGTTGGAAAAATGAAGGGAAAAAGGAAGCTTTTGTCCCACATTAGTTTGGAAAGTGGGTTTGTACCACTATTTATACAAGAGCCTTTCTAAGCTAGCTTTATTAAATTGTATAGCATAGAGGCTCTCTCTTGCACGCATAACCTTATCTATTGATATTACATGTTAGTTTTCCGCTTCAATTTATTAGGTTATTTGAATACTCTCTTTGTCAACAAATCTTTCCAAAGTGGTTAATATGATTGATTTCAAACTATTTTTTATTTTAATCCATGGTATTAATAAAATACTTGGTAAATAAATATATAACATTAATTTATATTATAACTTTGTATTTAAATGCATAATAGTATAATAAGAAGACAATTGACAGTTTAATGAATAGAATCATTTAATGAATTTGAATGTAAGAAACTTTGCATTGGAGAAAATAAAGACAATATAACTAATGAAATTATTTCTCTTATTTAATTTATTGATATTTGATAATGATTTTTTTTTTTTGAATAAAGGCATTGTTGACACTTAATTCTAAATTAAAGAAATATTATTTTTAGTTGTAGCTACTAATTTATTTAATTTAATATGAGTAATGGAGTGGGGAACTTATTTTTCATCAACAACAATGAAATTGATTTTTTTTTTCATTCATTGTTAAGACAAATTGTTTTGCAAGTTTGTCAATAACAATTGCTACAATTGATGTCAATAGAAGATGAAAATAAATAATTTGAAATATATGGTTACGATAGACATTGTTATAATGATATAGTATTAACTTACAAATTTTTTGTAGAACTTTTCATTCATTGATAAAATTCTGAGAATGATGTGTAAATTTATTCAATTGGATCTGGTGGGGTGTTATCATTATCAATTGTTTGGATAATGATCCTACCGTTTAAAGTCCAGTTGTAGTATTTCTGATTAACAACTTTGTAGTTAGGTTGCGCATGTTTTACAATGACATACCCGCATGGGTAGCTCAATTGGTCATAGAGGTGAAACTTTGAAAGAATTACCAGGGATCGAGTCTCACCAGCGGTTCATGTTCAATTGTACCATGATTTACATCCTCCCAAATGCAAGAGTAGGTATGAAGATTGATATCATACATTCCAATGTCGTGATCAAACACAAATGCTTGAACTCAAGTTCCTTACATTTAAATATACCATATATATGTATGCTTTGTTTCCCTAAAATATCTCGTCCCCTACTTACAACAATGTTCCTTACATTTAAATATACCATATATATGTATGCTTTGTTTCTCTTGTCCCCTACTTACAACAATTTTGCATGATAAAAAATAATAGTACAATATTTGTAAAGTAATTTATAATTTTACCATTATAGAAATACAGACAAAAATTATTAATACCATAATGACCTAAATCATTCCTAATAATACAAAAGCATAATTAAAATATGGAGTCTTGCTCTAAATAATCAAAAGAATCTTAATTAAACCAAAAAAAAAAAAAAAAAAAAACTTAATATAGATTTGTTTTTAAAAAATGCAAGAAAATGATTTTGAAGGTATCTAATTTGTAAACTTTGATGTTCAACTTTGATTGTTATGTATATAGTCTGGCTAATTGATTTACCAAAGTGAATATTAAATTTTATATTGTATTTTTTTAATACACTCTAACATATTCATAGTATATGTTCAACAATTATACAAACTTTGATTGAGATGGAATTCGAACCTAAGACCTTTAATGTCTTATGAAAATCAATAAGTTAAAAATAATAAATAGTTAACGGAGTATTTCTTTACTAAAGTTTACACAAACAAAGTAAATGATATAATAGAGAGTAAAGTAAAAATTAAATAAAAAAAATCAAAAAAATCTGAACTATTTATTTTACCAAATAATTTGATGGACATTTTTAGTTCTCGTTATAGGTTTAACTTTATTGGCTTTTATTTGTGTGTGTGTGTGTGTGTGTGTGTGTGTATATATATATATATATATATATATATATTATATATATATATATATATATATATATATATATATATATATATATATATGCCAAGCACCTTGTCCTTGTGCTCAGATGACATCCGGGTTGGACTCCCATATGGGATGTTGTGCTTCAGTGGGTTGAGAAAGTAGAAATAGTTATGAACAGATACTACATTGTAATAGAGTCAGTAGCATTTAATATATATATATATATATATATATATATATATATATATATATATATATATATATATATATATATATATATAGGCGGGTTCAGGTGCGGCAGTGTCTTACGGTGCGGCTATTTCTTAAGGTGCGGCAACACCAATAGTTCAACAAATATGCACCATCAACGTTAGGAAAATACACCATACAAAACAGAGTAAACAGAGCTCTGCATCACCAAACACACACCATTAGGTGTGAGTAAAAACATCATACACTGTTCGGAAATACACCATTGGGGGTTGTGAGTTATATGGTGTATTTTTTTGAGTCTGTTGTGTATTTTGTGATGTTTTATTACATTTCATTGTGGTATGTTTTTATTACACTGTTGTGTGAGCATATAGCCATTAACGTGCAACCCAACTATTAGCTTAAGCTTTTAGTTGAGATAGAGCACATGCTTCAATTTGGTATCAAAGCCAGACTAAAGGTCATGGGTTCAAATCTCAATGCCACTCGTAAGTGACAACGGTTTACCGGTCCACGTGTTCTTTTCAGCTTAAGCTTTTAGTTGAGATGGAGCACATGCTTCAATTGTGCATATTGTTAACACTGTTGGTGTATTCTAGAATTTAACCGCACCGCCGCACGGTAAGACCCCGCCGCATATGAGCGCTCTTATATATATATATATATATATATATATATATATATATATATATATATATATATATATATATATATATATATATATATATATATATATATATATATATATATTGATCGGACCAAAAAAATGGAACTAAAGAAGTGATTAATATATATGGAATAGGGATTATATTTTTTTTTTTTAAAGGGAAATAGAGATTATATTTTTTTTTTTGAAGAGAATAGAGATTATATATATATATTTTTTTTGAATGCTACTAGCTCTATTACAATGTAGTATCTGTTCATATACCTTTCTCAACCTACTGAAACACAAAGAGCCAATAACGCCTCCACTGAGGCTCGAAATCACAATCTTCCAAATGGAAGTCCAACCCGGATACCATTAGACCACATAGTCCTAGTAGAATAGAGATTATATATTTATTCATTGTTGGACTAAAAGACTTTTTCAAGCGCAATGTCCAAATCCCACCCTTCTCGCATCAAGTCACGATAATCAGTATACATATCCTACTCCGAATATGTCAACAAATTGTATCGTAACAACACTTTCTTAACTCTTAAGGGAAATTGAAATCCGTAGCCACTACAAGAATTTCTTTCAAGTAGATATATTTTACTTTAATTTAATTATGCAGCTAGCTAGCAATACAACAAATGTGGGATCAATATTGAAAAATCGTGTCTAAGCGCTAGGCAGTGGCCAGTCGTCTAGAATTTCAGCGGAATCGTCATTTTTTGATCGTCGGCCGCCAAGGCGCCGACTAGGTCACGACGGATTAGGCAACCTAGGCCGTCGTTTAGCTATTTTTCTGTGTTTTTTTAAATGGGTTATTTTGCTCAAACGGGTTCCGTTTTTAGTTAAATAACCCTAAATTGTTCAAATCGAACGCAAACCCAACAAATGTAATTAAAAAAAAAAATCAAAATCAGATACTCTAATATTAATACTTTGTGAGTTGTGACTTTGTGTTGTGTTTTGATTTTTGAAGTTAATATTTAATATTTTAGTACTAACTATTAAAGTATTAAATAGTTTATAATTATGAAGTCTTAAATAATTATTTTTTTTAAAAAAATTAAATTTAAAAAAAAAAAAGCACCTATGCACCCTAGGCGCTAGGTGCCGGAGGAAGGTCTAGTTATTTTTGCAACCTTGTGTGGGACGATAATAGAGTAAATTTGAATAAACTAATCCTATGTTTACCATTTAATCCTTAACCATATCACATATAGTCAGAAATAAGTATACACAAGTTAGGTAGGGTGTATGCATTACGTATACATTGAAGAGTACGTGTGAGTATATATTATGAGTTATTGACCATGATCTTTGTAAATGGATCCGGTGACCGCCCAATTCATATATATGGTAGCTCTTTGAAACTGACAAATATAACCAAAAGAAACAACATACATGGCCGGAGGGGGAGAAGGAGAAGTAACCAACTTGGAGCAGACGCCCACCTGGTTTGTTGCTCTCGTCTGCACCGTCATCGTTGCCATCTCTCTTGCTCTTGAAAGAATTCTTCATTATCTTGGAAAGGTATATATATATATATATATATATAGGGTCCGGATCGACCTAATCTTAGGTGAGGACGTGAGGACTAATCTAGACCATTAAATCAGAATGATGTATGATTGAGATTAAAAGAAACAAATCATACGGATTAAGAAAACAAATTCCTTTAAAATATTAAAATATATAAATCTAGGGTAAATCAGTCTTATTAAAAGATGTGCATTCCTATACAAAATGTTGTGCATTCCTATACTGAGTGTTGTGCATCAATAACTTCATTGTTGTGCATTCAAACCCCGTCAAAAAATCATACAGTGAACATCCAATGTTCTACGATGCATTGAACTATGTGCTATAATGCACAACTCCCTAGCCTATAGTGCACAACTTACAACACTAGGTTGCACAATCAACACACACGAATGCACAATTGTACTACCCAGTCATTTATACATATACACGACAATCCAAATATAGACAATATTATACTCAAAAGAACAAGCGGAAAAAAATAAAAAATACTGATTAGTTTGCATGGGCGAACACTCAATCAATGATGAAGAAATCGCGGCTCCAAATTACAACGGTGATGATCCAAGAAAATAGGAAACCAATTTGACCAAGAATTATACATGCGTTCACACTTGAAAAAAAATAGAAAAAGACACTATTATCCCACTTTAACAAAAAAGATCAATCCATGTCATCTCAAGAACTCAAATCTGGACCATCCAAATAAAAAAAACAAATGCACAAGATTAGTCCTCACGTCCTCACCTAAGATTAGGTCCTCACCTGATCCGAATTCTATATATATATATATATATATATATATATATATATATATATATATATATATATATATATATATATATATTTGTTAATTCTACTGATATGATATGATGCTTGAATGAATTGTTGTGTATCTCTTGACTGGAATGCTATACAGTTTTTGCTCAAGAAAAAACAGAAGCTGTTGATTCAAAGTGTTTTGTCAAAGTTGTGCAAAAAGAATTCCAGTTCTATAAAGGAATATCAGTCATAAAAGAAATAGCTAATGAAGAATACTAGTTTTAAAGGGAATTGTTATTGAAGTTTTTCTAGTTCTAGTTTGATTAGGAATAACTTTGTTATTCACGAATATGTTAGGAGTAGTTACTATAAATAGGGATTGCCCTTTATTGTAGAACCCAAGCATTCAACATTAATCTTGTGAGGTACGAGTGTCTTTGAGAATAGGATACTAAATTCCCCTAGAAAGTAGTACATGTGTTTAGGTTTCAATAGTTTGGTAGGAAAGATCATTCTATTGTGTAATCTCAGGTTCCAAACATGTACTTTAAATATTGAGCTTTTAGTGGATTTAGGCAAGTTCTCAAATTGAGAAGTGCCTCGCAGATTAGGGTTGTTTGCCCGAACTGCGTTACAGATCATTTGTGTTACAACTTCAATTTCGGTGCTGCGCTTTACAAATTTTCAATTGGTATCAGAGCCAAACTGCTTAAGTTACTAGCAGGATCCTAATGGAGTTTCCAAGAGAAGGACTATCAAACACAGAAAGGATACAGTGCTATGAGTGCAAAGGGTTTGGACACATCCAGTCAGAATGTCCAACATACTTTAAAAGGAAGAACAAGACATACATGACAACATTAAGTGATGACTCAGACAGTGAAGAAGACACCAACACCAATTTCGTAGCATTCACCGCAAATCATGAAAATAACAACGGAGAAGATATACAAGAATTACTAGAGGCATATACTCAAATACATGCCAAATGGGAACAAATCATCAAAATAAATCTAGATCTCATGCAAGAAAATCAGTTTCTAAAAGATGAAAAAGATAGAGGAGAAAAACGCCTTAAAGGTACTCAGAATGAATTAATGGAGTCGAACGGCAGAGAGGCCAAACTGTTACAAGAGATCAAGGAACTAACTGAGAGGCCTAGATCTCCAAAGCCAGCATCCAATGAAAGTCATTCTTCTGAAATTCCTGAAGTGTCGCAACATCACTTCCAACACCGAAGGAGGATCAGATGCTATTACTGTCACAGACTGGGGCACATAAAAGCATATTGCTTCAAAAGACAAAAATCCGGATCTGTATTACAGACAAATCAACAGAGATTGGTCAGTACAAAGCAAGAAAATCTGGGTAAGAAAAGATCAGAATGTTGCCTACACCTCAAAAACTAGCAAAGAACAAAACATATGGTATTTTGACAGCGGGTGTTCAAGGCATATGACTGGAAATCCAGAAAATCTAGAAAACATTCAGTATAAGAATGAAGGACATATTACCTTTGGAGATGGAGGAAAAGGCCAGATCATTGCAAGCGGCATCTTGAATGTCCATTGGCTGCCTAGGTTGCCAAAAGTCCTCATAGTACAAAGTCTAAAAACAAATCTAATCAGCATAAGTCAGCTTTGTGAAGATGAACTCAAAGTAGAATTCTCTAAAGACAATTGCACTGTGTTTAATCAGAATCACAAGTGTGTCATGATGGGAAAAAGGTCCGCAAACAAATGCTATACATGGGATGGTGACCTATCTGGTTTACAGACAACTAACAAGCAATCACGGCACCAACATATGGGACACATAAATTCTCATGACATCAAAGGGGACCAAGCAATATTCCTAGACTATTCAAGTTATTCATCAAACAGTAAGACTTTCAGTGCAGACAGTACAATGGAATCCATGAATGTGGTTATTAATGACACAATTTCAAGAATAACCACTAATGATGACGAAAGTCCCAGAGTTGTTGAAACAAATGTTCCAACACCTCTGACTACTGTTATGCAGAATCACAAAACAAAAACAGAACCAGATGAAGAAAAGGATGTTGGCTCTGCAACGATCATTATGAGCCCTGTTCTGATTTCACAGGAACCCTACCAAAATATTCAAGACGAACGCGAACCACCTCCAACCTGTTTGTGCGAGACAGCCCTGGAGGGCGAGGGTGGTATGGCGGTGGCAACGGAGCGTTTTCCGGCGATGATTATGTCAACGGAGCGTTTTCCGACGTTTTCCAGTTTCGTCTAGGTTATCCCATGAAGATCAGATCGGATATTTTAGAGATCATTTTGAAGAACTTTCACCGGATTTTGTGCTATTTCCAGAAATTAATGATGGCGCATAATTAGTACATTCGAAATTCCGGTCAGAAAATCTAGATGCGATCGTAAGGCAGTAGAGACCGATTGATGGAATCTCAGTGGATTCATGCTTGCATGGCCAGAATACATCTCCAATTAAAAGAATTCTCGACAGATTGTCTCAGCTTTGGCGTCGCGCTCTTCCGATGTGCAATTTCCCTTCGGGATGTCGCGATTGAGGAGAAGTGATGAAATCAAAGGCATTGGTGGTAATAACAGATGAAGAATAAATCAGAGGAGAAATTAGCTGTGATAGGCTGATATAATTGGGAATTTTTTTTTAAACAAATCATACTCAACGATAGCACTCACCAATAACAGAGATACATGGAATCAATTAAGGGCCAGAAATTAATGATGGCGCATAATTAGTACATTCGAAATTCCGGTCAGAAAATCTAGATGCGATCGTAAGGCAGTAGAGACCGATTGATGGAATCTCAGTGGATTCATGCTTGCATGGCCAGAATACATCTCCAATTAAAAGAATTCTCGACAGATTGTCTCAGCTTTGGCGTCGCGCTCTTCCGATGTGCAATTTCCCTTCGGGATGTCGCGATTGAGGAGAAGTGATGAAATCAAAGGCATTGGTGGTAATAACAGATGAAGAATAAATCAGAGGAGAAATTAGCTGTGATAGGCTGATATAATTGGGAATTTTTTTTTTAAACAAATCATACTCAACGATAGCACTCACCAATAACAGAGATACATGGAATCAATTAAGGGGGAGATGAGCCAAAAGTCAAAGTTTTTTTTTTCATGGAATCAATTAAGGGGGAGATGAGTCAGAAGTCAAAAGCTTTTTATGGAATCAAGGTTTTTGCCAAAAATTTGACAAAGGGGGAGAATGTTCATTCAAAGTGTTTTGTCAAAGTTGTGCAAAAAGAATTCCAGTTCTATAAAGGAATATCAGTCATAAAAGAAATAACTAATGAAGAATACTAGTTCTAAAGGGAATTGTTATTGAAGTTTTTCTAGTTCTAGTTTGATTAGGAATAACGTTGTTATTCACGAATATGTTAGGAGTAGTTACTATTGTAGAACCCAAGCATTCAACATTAATCTTGTGAGGTACGAGTGTCTTTGAGAATAGGATACTAAATTCCCCTAGAAAGTAGTACATGTGTTTAGGTTTCAATAGTTTGGTATGAAAGATCATTCTATTGTGTAATCTCAGGTTCCAAACAGTGTACTTTAAATATTGAGCTTTTAGTAGATTTAGGCAAGTTCTCAAATTGAGAAGTGCCTCGCAGATTAGGGTTGTTTGCCCGAACTGCGTTACAGATCATTTGTGTTACAACTTCAGTTTCGGTGCTGCGCTTTACAAATTTTCAGAAGCCTCTGTTTGAAGCCTTACAGAAAATTAAAGAAGGTGAATCTATTGCACAAACTCCATCCTCATATTATATATAGTTGTGATCTGAATTGAATTGGATACGATTTGCAGAGTTGATGCTGTTGGGGTTTATTTTTCTGCTCCTCACTGTGTTCCAGAATAGTATTCTCAAAATTTGCATCTCCAAGCACAAGGCGGATATATGGCTTCCCTGCAAAAAGAGCGATGATGACACTCACGCCGCCGAGGGGCTGCCGGCTTCCACTTCGCACTTCCAGACGGCTCTCACTTTCGTCTCTTCATTTCTTCCTCCCACCGGAGCAACGCGCCGCCTTCTCTCTGAATCCAGCAATGCGCAGTACTGTCCCGACAAGGTATTACAACTCTCTATATATTCTCGGCAATTTTTACTCGAGACTCAACTGTTCTTAGATCAAGGTTTATCACTGTGCAATTTTTTTTTCAAGGTAATATATGTTTTATACATTTCTCAAATATTTTTAGCACAAAGAATTTAAATTTCACCACCAAATATCCCTATTTTATATTATACTTTCCCAACATTTTTAGCCTAAAGAATCTAATTTCCACCACCGGATGCCCTTCAATAGTTTAGATTTTGCACAAATCTTTAGATGTCAAGTAGGAGAGGAGATAGGGAATTTTTTTTTTAAAATGATTTTTAAAAAAAGGAAGACGGGTGGTTAACGCTCTCAGCAGTAGTGTGGAGTTCACGCACCCGGATAGGCGTTTCTTGTGGGCCTCACATGCACCAGACGAGTGTTTTGATTTTTTAAGTGGGGCCCACTATTCAGACAAAAACCAATCTCTCCTGCAAAGACCAATCGTTATACCCTACACCACGGCGCACGTAGCATTGTGCGCCGCGCACCTCCCAAAACGACGTCGTTTTGGGAGGCACGGTAGGAAGTTGCTGTGATTATGTATATTTGTTCATACAATTATGTACATTTTTTATACAATTCTGTACATTCTTTTTATACAATTATGTACATCCGAATCAGGAAATTTTTGTGTATTATGTTAAGAGTTGATGTGTATTATGTTAAAACTTTATGTTTATTATGTATTATGTTAGATTATGTGTATTACCTTTTAAAAAAGAGTATGTATATTTTGTTATATAATTATGTACATTCATGTATACAATTATGTGTATTCTAGTATAAAATTATGTACATTTTTGAACATGAGTTTTTTTTTTAAAGAAAAATTAGTATTTTCACCCGTGCGATGCACGTAATGGAATTGTTGTAATATATTAAGAATATTTAAATCGATATATAATTATTTAAGAGTTAATTTCACCAGAGGTCGCTTATCTCCTGAAAATTCCAAATTTAATCCTAGACTATAGTTATTAATTATTACGATTTATTCTATATTATAATTCTTACGTTAATATTCTTGCTATTATTATTAACACTTAATTACTTTTAGATATTATTATTACCACTTATATTATTATTATTATTAGTTTCTTTTCAAGTTCTGTTAGTATATAATGGCCGTGAGGCACAATAATAATATAACCATAATTAAATATTCTTGAACTGTATTCCGTGAGTCACAATAATAATATAACAATAATTAAATATTTTTCAATTATATATTCTTCTAGGATTTCTATTACCATCATTAATTATTCCCTAATTTCCCATAATTAAATAATTTAACCAATTATAAAGAGAGATTATTAAATAATACACATGACATTTTTTAATTAAGAATTTTAAAAATTCATTAATAAAACATAAGGTTCTCATAATTTTTTCTTAGAAACTATTTAATAAATCATTTTTTAGAAATTAGTGGGCCAAACCGCCTACGGCAGTTTGCGGTGGATAGATCTTGAAAAAATACGCGATTTTAAAAAAACATTTGTCCAAAACGGACAACCGAGTCAAAAGTTATGCCTTGCCGAACTTTTGATACTTTACAACCTATAAAAAAATTAAAAAAAAATTAATAAGCAGTCGCGGAGGAGGCCGATTCCGGACTTTCTAGCCGCGGCCAGCGGCGCGATAAAAAAATTATTATTTATTATTAGGAGGGTTTGGGAAATATTAACCCAAAATGTATATGTGTTGTTTTTGTTTTTATATATATTATAGATGTATAGATAGATAGATAGATTACAATAGGAATTGTATTACAGTACTAGTTTTTTACGCACATTGCGCGATTGGGATAATGCCCAATGTTTTTCTTAAATAAGTATTTTAAAGTATATCAAGGCAAGATTATATTGGAATTGTTCATGCATATATAATTGAATGTTGAATTTGCGTATTTAAATTGGTAATTCTATGTTTACAAATGCAAGATAATATAGTCAAGATTGATTATAATTGCCAATAAAATAATTGTATGGTAGGAGGGGGGGGGGGGGGGGGGGGGGGGGGGAATAAAAGTTAAAAGCATAAAATATTAAATATATACTAATATCATTTGAGGAGATTCCGGTAGTAGGATTTGTGGTTAGAGCTCTATTAAGACTTTAATATTAGAATTAGATTAATGTTGTAGTTATAATTCTATATTAGACTTTAATATTAGAATTAGACTAACGGTGAATTAACGGTACTTAATGAAAAAGTTAACAGATCGGATAAATTAGGAAATCTCAAGGAAAAACTAAAATTTGAACAATCTGAACTATTTATTTGATTTAATAATTTGACGGTCATTTTTTCTACTCAATATTTATAATTAAATAAATATTTCAAAGTATATCAATGCAAGATTATATATGAGAAGTTCAACATTAGTAATTTAATGTCTAATTTATTTATTTAAATATGTAATTCAAAGTATATGATCGAATACAATGTAATTAGGAGATTCATTATAATCGTTAGTAAACTTTATTTAAAATAGTAACTAAGTATTTTTGTTGCAAAGGGTTCTAATATATTTAATGAATGCATATATATACAAGATCAATGAATGATTTAATGGTACCAGTCCTTCAAGTGTTTTGCTCAGTGTTCATTTAGTTTAACCATTATTGTTGAATAATTTATTATGGATAAAGAAATTCCTAATTTACGGAAGTTATATGTAGTAAAATTTTAAATTTTTAATTATAATGTAACCCAAAAATATTGGACGATTGGAAAATATGATGTAACTCAAAGATCAAAATGCTAAAGAAAGTGTTTTAGTTATTCAACAGTTTGAAGAAACAATTTGTTCCAAACCACTGAAACTACAAACATTACAATTTACAATATTTTCACTTACCGTTTTTGAGAATGATTTCCCCAAAACACATCTATATTTTTAAAAAAATTATTATTAAAACAATTATTATTATTATTATTATTATTATTATTATTATTATTATTATTATTATTATTATTATTATTATTATTATTATTATTATTATTATTATTATACCCTTAAGTCATTTTAAATGTTAATTTAAACAGCTAATTTTTTCAAATATCTTTTTACCAACCGTTGATATAATTCGCTGGTCAAATCCGTTAATATAATCCGCTAACGCTAACCGCTAACTGCTGATTGTCAAACAAGGACATTGCGAGGTAGTTTCTCACTTCAATTTGTTGTGTGATTTGAATACTCTCTTTGTCAACAAATCCCTCAAGTAGTTAATATGATTGGCTTTATTAATTTAAATTTTTTAAATTTTTTCATGGTATTAATAAAATACTTGGTAAATAAATATATAGCATTATTTTGTATTATAACTTTGATATTTAATTAAAAAAAATAGTGCACAAAAAAGATAATAGACAATGTAGTGAATATAAAAAATTGATAAATTTGAATGTAAGAATTTTTACATTGGAGAAAAATAAAGACAATATAACTAATGAAATTATTTTTCTTAATTAATTTATTGATAATGAATAATTTTTTTAATAAAGACATTGTAGGGACAATGTAGCGAATATAATCAATTGATGAATTTGAATTTTCAATGTAAAGAATTTTTATATTGGAGAAAAATAAAGACAATATAATTAATGAAATTATTTCTCTTATTTAATTTATTGATAATGAATAATTTTTTTGAATAAAGGCATTGTAGACACATAATTCTAAATTAAAGAAAGGGAAAATGGCACTTTTCCCCCCTAAGTTATATATTTATAGCACTTTTTCCCCTTCAATTATTTATGTAAACACATTAGCCCCCTCAATTATTTTAAAAGTGGTGGTTTTTCCCCATAATATATTAAATTGACATTTCTACCCTTAAAGTAAACATTTTATTTATTTTACTTCTCCAACAAATTATTGCGTATATGTAGCGATTACCACGGTTCGATACGAACTGAACCAGACACTATAGCAATCGAATTAAAAATTTTCGGTTATGATTCGGATTTAGAACCCAATATTTGGATTTCAATTTATTAAATTTAAGAATAAAAAAACTTGATCATGAACCGTGAACCGGCGGTTCCGGATCCAGATCACGATTTTGAACCGTCTTTATTTTAAAATTTTATTTTTTATTTTAAAATAGTCTAAATTCAACAATAAATGTATTTTATTTTTTAGTTCGGAACATGAACCGACAATTCTGGTTCACTATTTTAATAAACTCTAAATATCGCGTTTTGATTATAAATTGTAATTGGGATATTTTGGTTTGGTTGATATAGTATCTGTTTGGTTTGAACCAAAATATAGTAATAATTTGTTGGAGAAGAAAAATAAATGAAATATTTTTTTTTTAATATTTTTTAAGGGTAAATATGTCCATTTAACATTTTAGGGGGAAAAAGAGCCACTTAAATAATTCAGGGGGAAAAAGTGCTATAAGTATATAACTCAGGGGGAAAAAGTGCCATTTTCCCTTAAAGAAATGCATATGTATTATTTTTTGTTGTAGCTACTAAATTGTTATTTTTTATTAATTCAATAAGAGTAAAATAAAGTACTAATTATGCCAACTTCGATTGAAATGAGGTTTGAACCTAAGACATTTCTTATTGAAATCAATGAGTAAGTTAACGGTGAACTAACAGAAATTAACGAAAAAGATAATATTTAACGGATAATCATATTTATTAAGGATAAATTAGGAAATCTCAAGAAAAAATTAAAATTTGATCAATCTGAGCCATTCATTTGATTAAAAATTTTGACCGCCATTTTTTCTACCCATTATAGGTCTAACTCTCTTGCGCTCTTATTAGTATAGTAGATATTATGATATTAGAATAGAATTTTAACCCAGAATAATTGTACGAATAGGAAAGTAGATAGATTTTTTAGGAATTGGGCGGGAAGTTAAAATTGCAGGATTTTGTTTTTATATATAGTATAGATGTATAGATAGATAGATAGATTACAATAGGAATTGTATTACAGTATTTTATGATATTAGAATTAGAATAGAATTTTAACCCAGAATTATTGTACGAATAGGAAAGTAGAAATCAATATATTTTATTAGGAAGAGAGATTTTTTAGGAATTGGGCGGGAAGTTAAAATTGTAGGATTTTGTTTTTATATATAGTATAGATTATACTAATTTAATGTTGCTTTCAAAAAAAATACTAATTTAATGTTAATTAAGAGATTTAAATAAAATTAATGTTTGGCTATACGTGTGATTAATATATATATATATATATATATATATATATATATAT